ATGGTCCAAATCTTCGTAGTACATGAATGTTGCTGTTACAGGTCCATTCGTCAATATTTCTTTTTGGATTTCTGTTTCACTCGGTGGTACTTTGTAGACCGTTTTTGCTTTAAAATACGATTAGCAGCTAGGCATAGTAGTTTAGACAACAAACCCTCTTCAATTCCATATACCAAAAATTTTGTCATCTCCATAATTCTTGGAATATTCAGCGGAGCATTCTCTTCTGCACTTTGGAGTAGGCATGTTCTTCACTTTGCAGTCGCCATAGTAGGGTTGGTCTACACGGCGACCACATGGGTGGAAAACATACGGTTTGCACACTCCCTTCAGTATTCAACTTTCTGTTTGGCACATAGCTAAGCAGTATATATCTTACTTGGGTCGCATAAGGTCCTCCTGTGCAAGCTCCAACTTTGACCAACCAGGCGTATGCTCTGAGAGTCGATCCTCCGTTACACCTGAAAAATTTTTTTGATAAGTAACACATAAGTTTTCAAATGGAATAAGATCTTGTTTTCGATGTTCCCAAAAACAATACCCAGAACCGCAGAGTACGCAACACGTGAGGATGTCGCTGTCAGAAAGCAGGTCCTATAAAAGATAATCATTTGTGACTAGTTTTCTCGGTTATATAAGCTATCTTACCTGCCTTTCTCCGTTCGAATGGATACATAGTCTATCAGACATAGCTGAAGCTGTTGAGACAGCCCAACATGAACCTAATGCGCATAAACGCTCAGTGAAATTTAGAGATTCTTGTTTAATAAAGAGACTTACCACAATTGGCTTGATCACGAATAAGTTTTACAGACCTACAATCTGGCCAACGTTCTCTGGCATCAAAGCTAGAAAAAATCTGTTTTAGTTTATTCAAAGGGTTTCGCTGATATCAGAAGTTGTCCAAATAACGACTATTACAATTTGCTCAAATTGTCTAACGTTTATAGTAATTGTTACCTTTCTGGAATTTCCCCTTCATAATGAGTTTCTGTTACTGCGGTCATTTTTAGCTCAGAATCTTCCAAATACTTTGGATCCATAGCAGGAGGTCTGGGCACAGAAGAGAGGTTTGTCTTAAGTTTGATCAATGAAAAATAGAACATAACCTAGACAAGTTCACTCTCTTTACCACCTGGAAGAACGGCTGGATATAATTAATGTAGTCGACAAGTTCTTGCCCCTTCAGACGTTTAGCGAATTCGGGAATTGGATGCTTTTTGAACTCCACTGTAAGAAAATGAGGTTAGATACGTTTTGAGCATACTTTCACTCGCAGCTCTTCTTTTGTGAATCACTCACTAGAATTTGAAGTGAAAATTTGAACTATTACTAATGGCGAAAGTATACGTTGTAAAGTATCTCAGACACGGGTGAGACACATTGCGCTTACCTATTG